CGGCAGACACCAGCCCGGCCGCGCTCATCGCGACGGGAGGCGGCCACGAGCCGCTGCACCCGCTCCCTCCTCCCTCCTCGCGCCGCCTCAGCCGGGCGAGGCCCTCCGCGAGCCACTTCCGGGACGCGTGGGCTGCCTCCTCTCCGCCTGACCCGGAAACTCGCGCAGGCTAATGCGCGGGACACCTCAAACCAGCCGGGCTGTGTGAGGGTCAGCACGGAGACATCAGGACCCCCCGGGGGCGGAGCCTGGTGCCGATGGCAGCGCTTGCGCAGTGCTGTACCGACCTGGGTTGTCCCAAGTGCAGTCAAGGGCTGCTCTCGCGGCCCCCTCCTGGCATGAAGTGGGCTGTGCCGACTCCCCCCCGCAACCGGGTGGGATGTGGACTTGCCTGATAGCAGAGGCAGGCCCCGCCCACCGCCGGGGTCCGGGTTCGCGGCGGCTGCTTGGTGCTGCGGTCGCCCGGGCGGGCAGTGTCCTCGGGGTCGCAGAGCCACCGACCTCATAAGGTCCCTAGAAGCCAGGCAGGTGCCGGCTGTACCCGCGCGGCTTGCCCTGGGCCGGTCCCGTCCCCTTCGTGCGAAGCGCCCCGTTGGTTGCCAGCAGAGGGTGCTTAGGAGCTGCTCGCGGTCCCCCCTTTGCCTCCTGCAGGCCCGGCGGGTCGTCCCCGGGGTCTCCATTTCAGGAGGGTCCTGGGATCTGCAGAGCCACATTAACCTGACTTCACCTGGGGCCCCAGGGGGCTGTGATCTACGTGTGTGCAGGTGTGCAACAGCCGTGTCATGCCCCAGCCAGCCCCTACGATGATCTGCTTCTGTTTGTCATCAGGTGCCTGGGGGCACGATGTTGAAGTGATGAGGACTGAAGCACAACGGCACCTCTGCTCTTATTCCTTTTGAAGAACTCGCTTTTTCCTTTTCCTCTGTCCCCAACAAGCTGTCACTGATAGTTGTGGTATCACATCCCCCAACTGAGGTAACTGCTTCACACCCATGGATAACAGCTTCTGTGCCAGGAGTGGGTTTACTCCCTCCAAAGTGATAAGCGCCTTTCAGAGATGAGATCCTTTTCAATCTTGTAATGTTCAAATGCTCTCCCCAGGATGTGTCCCTGGAGCCATACAGATAAACTCTTTGACTTGCACATTGCTAATTATAGGCTTGGAGAGGCTATTTGAGGCCTTAAACGCAAGCACGAGAATGCTAAAATCTGGATTTATGGTGAAGTGTCTGTAGGCGCATCTACATGTTTATTAATGCACTGGAATTACATTAAGTTTAGTACCTGTTATGACAGGTACTAAATGCATCATAATTGTTGCTACCATGCATTAGCGCAGATGAACTTTTTTTTTCTGACGCTACTGTGCATTAGACTAAGTCTACTGTGCATTAGCATAGGCTTTGCCTGCCGTGCTAATGCACAGTAGAATTAGTCTTCTCAACATTAAGCACCTTGTGTAGACACGCCCTGTGTTAGCTCTTTTATGGGAAGACAAGCCATCTAAGATGTACTGATCAACTGGTTTATATTGGTTTATAACTAGCAGAGTTGTGACTAAGCATTTACCTTAACGTTTGCCGGGTATGTTCCCCAGAGTCATGAGATGTTGACTCACTAATGCATATGTCCTATGTACTGTAACCCTGTCATCCGGAAAAAGGAAATAATATTTTAAAAGTGCTATCAAAGAATGATCGCCAAAGCAATGCAGTGTGAAACTAATAAAACTAAGCCTTGACAAGCAGCAAGTGGTGCCAGTATACCCATTGTTATTAAAAGAGTGAAAATGTATAAGTGCTTAGCCCTTCTGTTTTACATTTTGGCCAAAGATCTGTTATGGAGATTAACATTTTTAGCCTTGCAACATCTTTGTTAAGTATTTATTACATCTTTTTTTGCATAAGTAAGCATTACTCACCTTTTAGAGATGATGGGATTGAGACTCAAACCCAACAGTTTTCAAGAGAGGTCACTGAAGTTGAGAGGTGAACTAGTCACAGGTCAGGCTGAATCCAGGACTGTCTCCAGTGGCATGTTTGCCTTAAGCCCCTCTTGAAGCAGATTAACTTTTCCAAACGATGCTATTTTTACGTTACTTTCAAAGGCCAGATATATTTACCAATATGACATCACATGTGATAGGAACTGAAAGGGGATGGTGATAATCAGTGAGAGACTGGGGTATAATTGTTGATTCAGAAATGTTTAAATTCTGGGTCAACACTAGAATCCCATGCGCTGCATTGCTCTCATCTCCGCATTCTTCACTCCCCATGTTCAGTGCTAGCCTTATGCAGACACCTCATGCTGTCATCTTTCAGACATTCAGTTGAAACCCAAGGGAGGCTTATCTTTAAGGAATGCGCTGTTTCCCCTGCAATAGTGACAGCTTTACAGTTCACATCTCAGCATTCAGAGAGAATTTGTGACCCTTATTCAGGCTACTGTACAGAGTCAAAGTTTCCACCAAAGGTCTTTTCCTTTTGTTGTATCTGATGCATATCCATTTCTTTGAGGAAAGCTGTCTTTTTCTTGCTTTGCCCATATCAGCTATTACCATTTATGGAGTAGCTGCGATACCAAACTTGGGCTCACAGCATGTAAAAGAATCAATATGTTGATATTAAAAAAAAAACAACCGTCAAAAATATTTTAGGTTAGTTTGCAAACTGAAGTCTATTCATGGGAATGAAATGGTTGTGACCAGAACATTTGTAACATAGTGTACTGTGAAAAATTATGGTCAGGGGCTGAGACCAGAGGTTGTTTTGAGCTGAGCTACTGAGGACATTTGTGGGGTGGGGGAGAAAAGAACAATGAGCGCTGCAGCGCTCCCCCTGCTGGTGAGGATTGTGGAAGACTCCTTGTACTGTAAGAATCCCCCATCCTCTTATCCCCTTTGCTGTATCATTCTTGCTATTCCAGTAGTTAATTTCTTGTTTTATCTTCTACTTGGAAGGCTCTTCCTGTCCCTTGGAGCCTTTTCTTCCTTAAAACACAACTCTATAAGCAAATTCTCCCCTTTATATTGTTAGCAGTCCCTTTCCCCTTGTCCGGTTTTGTTGCTTCTCCAGGTTAAGTCTTATCCATACTGAAACGCACAGGTTAATCCGACTGAAAATAGACCTAGCTATGTATGTGCAAGAGTGACTCATTTAAAGAATAAATGCTTCTTCCATCTAGACTGGACAAGCCTCAAATTCACTTTTTGGTTTGAATGGACAAGAAACCCAAAAGTCTCCCCCTTCCCCAGCACGCTGAACCCAAGCCCGGGCGGGAGACGCCTGCTCCGATCTAGGCCCCCATGGGTCGACCCCCCCATTCAAACTCCCGCCTTTTCCCACAAGGGCTTAACCCCCCAGCCACCCGCGGCTGTCAGGGCTTCCAATCGAGCACCGATCATCCTGAGCGCTCTCTGGGTCCGAGCTGTGCGGAGGAGCTAATCGATCGCCACGGCCCAGAGAAATCAACCCCCGATGCAAAGATCCCCTTCCCCCAACATCGGCCCCGTAGATGAGGGCAGCGACAGCGGCCCAACCGGCCCCACCCGCCTCGCGCCCGCAACCGCAGACCACCCCCCCGCGGGGGAGGGGAGAGCAGGCTGGCGAGTCGAGGGCCGAACCCCGATTAGTTCGGCTTGCCTGAACTCCCAGACACTAGAGTCGAGCGCCGATGCAGCCGAGCGATCGGCCGCGCCTGGCAGCAGCCGTAGGCGCACGTCGGGCAGCGGCGGGTCCGAGGCAGGAAGCGGGGGGCAGTGAGCGCGGACCGGCCCGCCTCGCCCGCCCCGTCTTCTCGGGCCCGGGCCAGGTGAGAGCGCGGCGCGGGCGGGCAGCTGGGACGGACCCGACCCGGCAAGCAACAGGCGGGTCCTA